CACCATGCGGAAGAGCCCATCTCTACACCCGTCTCAGGCCAGTTGGTCAATCTGCTGAGGTTGATGAAGCAGAGCCAGATTAAAACAGCATCTTCCCCACCCTGTGTACGGCAGCTCGGACAGGAAATCTGACCAAATCCCCGGATGCAGTGACTGTGCCGCACCACGCAGTGCATCGCTGCAAGCCCTATGCCTGCGCCCTGGCACAAGCAGCTGGGTGCAGGCTGAGCCTCTCCCAGGCAGAACAGGAGCCTTTCTTGCCTGCCCTGAGCTTCACCCAGGGTCGAAACAGGACCCTCAGGAGTGTTCTCAGCCTCCTCCCGAGAATATTTGTCTTTCCAAGCTGCAAATTTAAATTTCTTGCAAAACTTTTTCTCTTGCTTTATTAGAGCAATGAAGGATGTACAGGGACATTCTTGTGAGAAATAGCATACTGCAGCCAGGTGGTACCACTGCTTGTGGAAGGAAAAAGCTGAGTGCAGCAGTTTTGCCAGCTTCAGGAGGACAGGAGGAGCCATTTCCCAAAGGCCTTACTCCTGACAGTCATTGCTGTCTCTCTAAATCCTCTGGTCCTCACGCATTACTTAGCCAGATTCATTCTGGGAACTCCCCATTAAAACTCCATGCACGTTAGCATGAATGAGGGCTGCAGGGTTTGGCCCACCACAGTGAGACTCCATAAACGCTTGCGGATTTTGCCACAGCTGTATTTTCTTTTAAGCCTTCCCCATTTTCACCTCTCCAGCCCACAGTTCACCATAGACCCAATCTTGCAGCTGAGCCACGCTCAGAAACACCCACTGATTTCAAAGAGATCGCTGGGTCTGAAATGATGGGGTCTGGCAACAATATGTCCATGTCCTCTTTGGCTAGCTCAGTGCACCCTCATTTCCACATCACTTTCCCCTCCTTGCGGTGACAAAAGTCAAGCATCCAAAAGGAATAAAGGAAAAGAAAAGCTGACGGGGGAGAGGCAAGGGATGCGTGGCAAGTTACCAAGGAGCATTTTCTCAAAGCAAGGGAGAAAACGGCATGGAGCACATACATCCTGCGTGCACATGGATGTGGAGATCCTTTAATACGAATGATTGGGGAGGGAGGGAAAAAAAAGGAGGGGGTGGAAGAAAAAAACCTCAGATGTTAAATGTTATCCAATTAAGCTTAAAATAAACAGCCCAGAGAGACAAAATCTTGATACTGGGGTATCACATTCTGTGAGGAGTCTCAGACATTTGTTCACAACGTGGCACTAATGGCCCGGCAGTGGCCACTGGTGACAGCTGAAGGTGGGCAGGCAGGAGGGGAGGGATGGGGAAATGGAGGGAGTCGCACGCCCTTTCCGGCTCCCCATCCTCCACCAGGGTGGAGGGGGAAGAAGGAAGGAGAGGGGGGTGGTTTAGGGCATTTTCTCTGCCTTCCCCATGCGACCCAGCAAAGGCAGCTCTCCCACAGCAAAGACGACATCACTTGGCAGCACTACTGACCTTCAGATAGCAACAAAAAAAAAAAATGTTTCTATTACCTGACAACTGACAATGACATCCAAATGTGCCTGACGTCTCAGTCTGAATCTCAGTCTGAGTCCCGCCAACTGAGACTGCACGTGCACCACAGCAGGGCAGGCTAAGGCAGGGCGGGAGGGAGGCCAGTGCGCGGAGAGGTGACGTGATCACGGATGTGTGAGGGTGGGAGGAGGCAGCTATGGGAGCCCCCGGCAGGTTTGCAGGCCTGGACGGCCCTGGAGAAAAAACAATAGAAAAAACTGTCAGTCGGATCTAAGTTTGAAGGGATAGAGGAGGCATCATCAGGGGAGACAGGCGAGGCGGGGTCTGGCTGCCTAACACGCGACACGCTTGGTCTGAACCCCTCTCTGGGTCCGGCTGAGGCTGGCGGGCTGGCGCCGGGCAGGGGAAGAGCAAGAAGAGACATGGGGGACCCGCAAACCCGGGCTGGGGGCCCGTGGTGGGGCACGGAGAGGGGTGAAGCCGGGGGAGGACGGGCGGCCCTGGCCTGGAGCAGGGCCGAATCAAAAGGGGGATTATTGTTTTACAGCTGTGTTAATGCATTGAGCTGACACAAAACTGGGCAGACTTTCTGCCGAGCCGCTGCTGAAGCAGACTCCACACACCAGCCCGGACAAAGTGCGATGACTTAGAGCTCAAATGGCTTCAGAGAGGTGCCAGGAGCCGAGCTCCCAGAAGGAAGCACTGGCGGCCGCTGTACTGCCTTCCCGCTTGAGCTGCAGCCAGTTGTGCATTTTGCATGCCCCGATTATGCAGGCTGCTTCCCTATCGAGCCTGTGAAGAAGGGAGCAACCTTTTTCCTGGTAGCTAAAAGATGATATTGTAACCTCCAACCGTATTATTTATTTTTAACCCCTCTAGGAACCACCTTCCATTTAAAAGCTGTATTTAAGAGTTTTCTCCGGCTCCACTGGAAACACTCACTCCTCCTGGCACTAGTCCAAACTGAGCTCCGTGGCTTTGAAAAACTAAGATACAAGTCTTAAATATCGATATACACCTGCACAAATACAGATGCGCACAAACATACACACACGCAGAATCAGGTAGAAGCCACATTTTTGGCTGGCATGAATTAGCAGAGTTTAAAGGGAAGTTGAGAGAATGGAACCACTTTACATCCACCGTGAATCCCACCCCTTTCATTTAAAACGATGCCTGCCACTTAATTATTAAATAAAGGGCAGCTACTAATCAAGGGCAGTTTCTAAATGAAGATATGTGGTGGAGTGGTCGCCATTAAAAAGCTGGCATTTGCCAACAGTTACCGCACAGTGGTAGATCAGAAACCACAGTTTCCCCCTGTACTGAGATCAGGAAATATGTGTGTTAATTGTGGGGTATCTTCTGGCAAATGCTCTCCTTTTTTTAATGGTGGCAATTCTGTCTGTGCATGCGTGTCTGCCTTGCAGATACATGCAAACACCATGGCAGCAAGGAGAAATATTTATCTGTGCTCCCTCCAACCCTAGAAAAGCAACATTTTCTAAGGGAGCTTACACCGTGGCAGCAAGGAGAAGTATTTATCCGTGCTCCTTCCAACCCTAGAAAAACAACATTTTCTAAGGGAGCCTCTCCACCTCAAGAGTCCTGATTCGGAAACTAGGCCTGCATGTTGATCTGACAGCTACACATGTGAGGCAAACGGGGATACTTCATCCTTGGCACAGCATCCAGCGCTCCAGTCTGCAAGGACTGCATTTGATTTTGTCGTTTATCTTAAATGGCTAGGAGACCACCAGTGCAAAACATTTGTGTGAAGCTTTTGCCAAAACCACAAGTGAAGAGTCTAAATTCCCTGTGTAAATAGTTGAGCTTCAAGCATCAAGGATAAAATTTGTGCTCTTTTGTGAGGACTGGTTTTAAATAGAAGCCATCTCTGTAGCTCATGGGACAAGGAAGGATTTTTTATTTTGGGGGCTTAGTTGCTTGGCTTTTGCAACTGTTTGATCTCCCTGGAAATACTACACAAGCAGGTAGTGATAACTACTATCTAGATCATATCTGCATTGCATTTTGGGCAGGACTGTGTGCTAGGCGTGTAGAAACTGATGTTGGACATGGATTTCTATTTGTGTATGAACCACTCTACTGCCACTGTAACATATATGAATAACAAGTTTGGTTTTTTTGTGGAACAAGCAAAAAGTAACAAAGATTTCCTCCAATGACTTAAGAATTGTATCTTATATTCCTAATATTATAAAAATAACTAGGCTAGCATAGGCTATGTTGAGCCACCTGGGCACTTGTCCTTGCTGGGAAAGTTGTGAGCTTGAAATCAGGATTTAGACTAGGGCCACAGGGCAGCTACGCCTCAGGTTACACCTAGACATATCTATGGCCCCACCATGACTAAGGGCACAGGTCCTGCAGTCACTCAGCCCTCTGCACATCGTGGTGCCATACGACAGGTTTTGAAGGAGCTCATCACACAGAGGAACTGTATGAAGCCCGCCAAGTGCACCATCAACCACAACTGCATGGGGTTTTAATGGGAGGTGCACGGGTCCTAGCACGCAACGCTACCCTAAGAGCAACAGCCTCTCCTCTAGTCCTGGAGGGTCCCATCTTTCCATTGGTAACAAATTTGATACCATCTGCACAGCCCTGAGGTGTCTGAGAAGATGCTAAGAGCTCACCAAGTGGGTACAGGGAGGCCCTCCCTGCTCTTATCCAATATGTCTCCTCTAGTGTGGAAAGGAGATTAAGGTTTCAAATAGGAGGTTTCTAACCATCTGGGCAAAGGGATCCTGTAAGAGCCTTCCAACAGAGGTACTGGGGGCAAGCCAGCAATCTGCTTTAACAAGGCGCCTAACAAATTTACAGGAAGGACTATATGAACCAGTTGCCAGTGAAGGGATGGAACTGAACGTGTCACTCAGAAGGTCTTTTTCTGTCCTTTGATGTATATATGAGGAAATCTAAAAAGTGCTAACCTAGTGTCAGAAAGGAAAGGGTTGGTAAGGGAGAAGAGGAATGGACAAAGACAGACTCTGGCAGATCCTCAGGGAGTCCCACCACCACTCCCGAGTCCAGCGCTAAGAGACAAAGATTGTGGGGCTGCCAGACCAGGAGGCTGTGTGCCCCTACAAGCAAAGTCAAACCAGGTGATTCCTCCTCCTCTTTGCTACCACTTTAGGGTTTGCTTCTTTGTCACAAATCAGGACAGTCCTATAGAATCAGATCAAATGGCAAATAATGAAGAGGGAAATCATATCCACTGGCCTCGAGGAAAGGCACGGCGAAAAGGAGTGCTCCACCATTAGGTACGTGATACCGCTTCATAGCTATAGAAACAATAACAGTGGTGCTCAGAAATGCTCAGCTCGTGTTTGCTAGGTACATTCCCATGTTTTACCTCTCCAGCTCTTCTTCTGTGGGATTTTTCCCCATAAAGGCATATTTAAAGCTGAAAATTAAGACGGGGCTCTACCATTCTTCAACTGAACTGCTACAGGTGATGGACAAACACAAAATGAACAAACAGATAAAAAGACAAACAGATGTAGCTAGATAGACGGTATCCTAAGGTGATGCTGAAAGTTTTCTGTCCAACCCACGCAGCACCAGGCGAGGGAGGGGAGCCAGTCTCTGGAATTCTACAGCCGATCGACCACATCATGTTGCACACAGATTTCAAAAAGAAAACACTCCTGCAAGCCCCTGACTGCCACAAAGGGCACAGCCGCAACCGGCACTAAGAGAAAGCAGACCACAAGAACTGCGCTGCAATCTTAGAGGCAAAAATCCGATCTGACTGGGGTGAGCGGGCACACACATGCAGCTCTGTGTCGCTTGGACATCGCTGACACGATGTGCGGGGCTCGATTTTCCTCTTGGGTCAGCACTGGGAAATCACTCACCTGCACTGCAGATCTCATATATTCTGCATTCATTCTGCAGGGATGGGAAGGGGAGTTTTGCACGTAGCATGAGTGTGAAACATGCACAGGGACTGTCTTCGTGTAAATAAAAGGTCTGCATTGCTGATGGTAAAGGAGGATTTTGTCCTCGTGCTTTAAACAGGCTCGGTATATACTCAGTGCCTGTACATGGCAGTAGCTCACAGGTTATGTTGACTCCCAGGCACCGCTAAGAGTAATTTTTTTGCTCCCTGCTATTTTTAAACTTGCAAAGAAGAAAATAAGGCAAATTGGACATGACCCCAGAAGATGGAAATGAGCATAAGAGCCTAGATGAACATGACAAAAGCCACAATCAAGGCACAAATTGCATCCTTTTGTTGTCCCTCTCCCTGAGCCTAGGCATGACTAGCCATATGATATGGTATATGTAAAACACCACACTCCTCTGGCACATCTGCAGAAAAGTCCCTGAGCAAAGCACAAAGGTGGAGCCGCAAGCGGCATTCACAATGTCCCACCTCAGCGTGGTTCAGACCAGGGGACCCGATCTTAATTTAAGAGATCTTGCTTTACATCTTGTGCCATGTGTAAATGCAGCCACATGTAGCTTGTGTAGCTGGTGTGTCCCCGGGGGTGTTGTGTGCTTGCCGCGTGGGTGCCGGGGTGTGTATCTGTGCACAGGCAGATAGGTAGGTGCACAGGCAGACGTGTAAGCCACTTAACGGGGCACGAACCAAGTTTTTCTGTGTGTGTCTCTGTGCCTGTCTGGTGATGGAAAATCAGTCAATAGCTGATTAGAGACTAAAGCTCTGTTCCATTATTAAAAAACTCTCTTTCAACAAAAAGAAAAACATCTGTTCAAACAGTATATGGCTACAAATTCAGAGTGCAGGCTGCAGCCTCATCCCTGCCCTGTGCCCGTCTCGTTCAGGGAGAGTACTGCAGATGTTTTGAGATGGCTTTTACATGTACCATTGCAGCAGCCTTGAACAGACACATCCAAAAGTGAAAGACAAATCTATTCACTAATCTCTCCAACAGATTTTTTTCCAAGCTTTTCCTAAAACAAGTTGTCTCATCTGTATTACATCCTCTCATACGGACTGTTCCCACCTGATATTATTATCTTTCTACCATCTTTTTACACAGACACCAACAGGGTTGACGAAGGAAATGTGCACAAGCACACGTGTACACACACAGAGTGTACAGAGACACAGAGGAACAAACATTTCCAACTAGCAGGGCGATGCATGCACACCCTGCAAGTGGCGGACACACACAGCATCCCCCAGGAAAGGCAGAAGGACTCAGTGGCATAGGCAGACATGCTATTATACACACTC